ACTCAGGCGGGTACATTGACTCACGCTTATATCTCGTAATAGGACAGCTATATCTATCTGTATTCTTAACATAATGGTAGCTCTTGACAACCAATCACATACAAACCAATCATCCATCCACTCCAGTGCGGATTAATTGTAAAAAAAATGTGCGATTGGTTTTGCACCTCTAAAAATGCTTTTAATGGTACCCTACATGTATTATTATCGGTTAAGATTGAAAGATTTAGGGAAATGTAATTATTATGATCGAAAGTGGTGTTCATATACTAAGTAATAAGCTAGATTTGCTAGCTCTTAGAGTAGTCTAGTAATATTTGTAGGCTAATTATTTCAAAATAGCGTCGGTGTCTACACTGGCTCAAATTTAAGTGGTACACAGTGACTCTAACATTTAGTACTGGCTCATCTCTCTATTTTTAGAAACGTTGACATACAGTTGTAAAATATTTCTAATGGCAATAGTAATGATATGAAAAGAATACTTTGATAAATATAATTGATTAAAATTAATAGTTTCAATAAATATTATACTTGCACGGCAGGGTTGCAAGTCCATATAAACTGTTAGAGTCACTGTGTACCACAGGGGTTGAGTCAGTGTAGACAGGTAGTAGTACACAGTGACTCACATTTTTTTTTCTAGAAAAAAATGTCTGGTGGCCTAAGTGTCGTGTTATTGCAAAAAATGATAATGCGAAACGAAAGAGTAATAATCAATGCATCCTAGATATGAATTTCAGTTTAATACTTCAAAGTTTTCTATAAAATTTTATTGATTGAAGAAATCCGAGTCACTGTAGCCTACCTGACCCTACTTAATGAGAAAAAATATCGGATCTCCAATACTAATGACACAATTTTTCTGCATTTTTGTATGGAAGGGCCATTTTTTCATATTTCGAATAAAAAATGTTAAATTTTGTGAGTAGAACACGCCCTTAAAATATTCGTAGATATTTAATAAAAAAATACCCTATTGCCCTGAATAAGAATTGCGTTCCGCAACATAACATCAACGACAAATCCGTGAGGAATTGGAAAATTTAGTAGTTACGATGAATCAACAATTTTCTTACATTAATTAACTTCCCAGCGCTATCCACCCACGTTTGTCATCCACTTAGTAAGGTACCTGATACAAATAAGGCCTATGCTCGAATAAGGCCTAATACGCTAGAAATCCAGAAAAAATAAGTTATCGTGTTAGTAAGCTCACGCACACATTCTCATTAGCGCAATGAACTAATACAGCAGGCGCGGGCTACTCACGCTCGCTGGATGTGTTAGTGCGGACGCGGTCTTGCTGAAGAATGGTTTTGTCGCACTGCACCGTAAAATTTTCACGTGTTTATGATAAGTTTTTCATTCAATATTCAGTTATTTTGTTTATGTCACCGTGGGTATTCTGTACTTTAGTATATGTTTGTTCTAATATTGTCTATGAAATGTGTTATTTACAGTTTATTACTTTTTTACGAATTCCTAACCTTAAATGAATGCAATCCACAAATAAGGCCTAGGCCTTATTCCTGACCCTTAGGCCTTATTCCTGACCCGTAGGCCTTATTCCTGACCGGTAGGTTGGTAGGTGATACTGAACAATTTTTATGTCAAGACTGTGATGAAAATTGATATTGTCATTTAATGTTAAGTGAATTAAGGCTAATTCAAGTTCCTAAAGTTATAATTTATTAGTTTTTGATGCGATGGCCTTATTAAAGCACTATGTTTTAATAAGGCCTACTACTTTTTGAGTTTTTTTTTAAATTTTGATATTTTTTTCACAAATTACGACTCTTTTGTTTAGTTTTTTACTACGAATGTTATTTTTTTTGGATATATTGTTTTGTTTTCTTAGTATAGCTTAAAAAGTGAGATGACTGATTAAAATTATCACATTGTTGTTAAATTGTCATAAGATTTCGCTTACATAAGCAATCAAGGCTATTCATTGCAAATTAACTGTATTTTCCTGTAAAATATCTTTATTTTCCTATATTTTTTTGAAGTAAAGTAATAGGCCTTATTAAATAGACATGATTTAATATGGCCAAAAGCAGTGGTTATGAGTTTGTTAATTTTGATCTATAATTGCACAATATTTCTTTAATTTATTAATGTGTACATGTAATTTATGAAATACATATGGTATTAGACCATTTCTACGTTTGTATACGTAATTCATTTACAAGTTAAAAGGGTTCAAAATTAAGTAGGCCTTATTTGTATCACTTACCTTATGTCACATTGGAATAAGGTATATACGGTTACATTTAATTAAGTACAAATCTCTTGAGTGTGTGGTCTACTCACAAAACTGAACAACTTTCGTTAGAAACTTTTCTTCGAAATATGTAAAAAAAATTGGATAACTCCCATACAAAAATGTTGGAAAAGTGAGCCACTTAGTAAGGGAGCTCCAAATTTTTTTTTCATATTTTGAAGAAGTTTTCTTACAAAAGTTGTTCAGTTTTGTAAGTAAAGCACACCCTCGAGAGATTTGTACTTAATTAAATTTAACCGTATATACCTAAACATACCTACCTACTAACTAGCATTTTACAGGGCGTTAGGAAAAGTAGCACGTGCCTTTATTGTAACAACCAGTTCTGTAGGTAAATAAATAGCAAAGTATCTCAAGCATGTTTAAAAAATATTTAAAATGTAACATAATTTAGATAAACTTTTTAAATTGTTCAATTGTTCTGAGCGCGATATAGCGCATCGTTACAGTCACCTACAGTTGCGATTGCCCCGTAGTAGACCTTATTTCGCGCAGCGAAAGCACGGCGCAAAGTTGTCCGAGCGGTCATTAACTGTACACTGTGCTGTGTTATAGGGTTGAACAGTTAAGTAAGTAAGTAGGTAGGTGTGAAAAGTTTTCAAAAAATATTTTAATATTTAGATATTTTTTAATACATGTTTCAACGCGCTTAACATACTTTTGTACCTATAGAATATAGAACATGGTCTGAAGGAACGTAATACTTTTCCTAACACTCTGTATAGCAATAAAACATTCAATTTGTTTTCGTTTACGCATGACTCATCCATTCATTACGATAAATAATAGTTTTTTTTATTATTCTATAATAAGGCATGTACTGTACCGAGCACCTACCTCTTCTGTAAGGCTTAGGGATCTGTCCGGTCTCAGCATGGTTCTGCAGGTTGGCCACGATATCTTCTAGCATCTGACTTCGTGTCCTTTCTTGCATACGCGCGAACTTCGGTGCCGAGTACGAGGCTCGCTCTCCGTTCACGATTTTTGTCAGTAACCATTCTCTGGAAAATAAATTCATTATTTTGTAAAAAAAATCATAAAATATCTTTTACGGCAAGTTTTTTACAGGCGGAATCTTATAAATGGCGTTGTTTTTAATTACCGTTTTCCTGACATAATCTTATTAATATCATAATTTAACTGTAAAAATATAATCCAAATCAAGTAAAATAAAATTACTAGAATAAAAAATAACAGTAAAGCTGTTTATCGGTTTTTATGTAGAATGGTAGGTAGGTATGTTTTCCGGTAGTAGAATGTATATTAGGTGTTATTTCAGGTATACTTCATCTGTGTACCTAATTTTATCCAAATCTAACAAGCCTCATAAACATACAAACTCTCAGATATGAGCATATTATTTGTAGGTACGTGTTTCGAAATTTTAATAGCGCATAGATAGCGATGATATTCAAGCAGCTTTACTTACATAACTGCAATTACAGTAGGTAAATGAAGTTAGCGTTATGAGGAACGATCCGCAACGTTCAACTTTAGTTCGTATCACTCTATCTAAGTTACGGGGAAATTAAAGTTATAGGAGCACGAAATTAGAGCGCAAACTGAACGGGATAGCTTCTATAACTATGATATATCAGGAAAGCTGGATAAGGGCGTTTAAGTATTACTACAAGCAAATAAACCTTCGAGTAAGAAGATGAACCGACCCTTCAAATGTCGTAAAAGCCATTTTGACCAATATTGACTTAAATGTTAGATATCTTATGTAGTTTGATGAGCTCTATCAATCTGTTCGTATTTAAAATTTTGTTACAATTTTGAATCTATAAGGCAATGATATTATTATTAGTTTATTGATTCATTCATCATTCATGAAGGATGTCATGAACTTAGCTGAGAATACAAAGTCTCTATTCTTACTTAAACAAAAAAAATGAAAGAAAAATTATAAGAAACAAAATGAAATGAATTAAATCAAATAAAGTAAAGTGAAAAGGAATAAAGTTGAACATCCTCAAACATTGTTAATTATAAATAGTATTTGTTCGATATCGAAGCTAGGTTTACAAATTTAGCTGATGCCGCTGATCTCACCTGAACATGGGTCCTTTATCGAACACGCTTTGCTCCCAAAGGTACGGTTTGTATGCGCCCACTTCGTCCCGTGTTACTACGGACACCTCGTAGCGCGTCGGCCGCCGTTTTATCTTTGCTGATACCCGCACTGGAAATTAAAAAAGTACCTAGAGTTATAAATATGAAAACAAAATTAAAAAAAACGCAACAGATTTCGGCCAAAATCCTAGTTTTTTGGCCAAAATCCTAGGTTTTTGGCCAAAAACCTGGATCAGCTTAGGACGATGGCCGAAAGAAGTCTACGATTTTGCCATATGCCGGCTTTTGGCCAAAAACCTAGGTTTTTGGCCAAAAACCTAATTCTGCCATCGTACTGCGACATATACCGGGAGTAACGGAAAGGGTATAACAAGCCGAAAGGAGGTCAAGGTACTCATGAAACTGAACAACTTTCCCCATGGAACATGGGTCGAAATATGAAAAAAAAATTTAGACCTAACATACAAAATCACCGACGAGCTAATTGATTTATTATGGGAGGTCCAAATTTTTTTTTCATATTTCGACCCATGTTCCATGGGGAAAGTTGTTCAGTTTCATGAGTACCTTGACCTCCTTTCGGCTTGTTATACCCTTTCCGTTACTCCCTGTATAATCCAAAATTATCACATGTTAGGCGCCCGTAGCTAAGTCGATAGAGCGGTGGAACGGTGATCCACAGTCCCGGGTTCAAGTCCCGGCGGTCACTGGTGAATTTTTAAATTTTCGCATTTTCCATTTATGAGAATAATATTGCGCTGTGAGTGCATTAAAAATTCCAATCCATTATGAGATTTGAATTAGGCTTGGATTTTGCTATTTAACACTACCACTACTACTACAGCCGCAACAGTCCACTGCTTGACATTGCTATTTAACACAATCAAACCCAAATATCTATCCATAACCTATCTATGCCTGTTTAGTTTCGTATCAAAAACGGTTTCGTACCTTTTTGAGCGGACGGTGCTGGCAACACTTTTTTTCGGTCCGCCCCGTCTGTCATCTTTACGCTAGCGTTGTTGAAGCGAATTTTAGTTTTAAGTGGTGTAAAATTAAGGTGTTTTGGCGGTTTTCTCGTGTGCTATTTGCCACAAGCCATGGCTTCCCTGTGCGGTGGGGAAGTGAACCAAGTGAATTTTGGTTTCGGCTTTTGATTGAGGCCAACGTGGTCGCCGGTAACATAACCTCACTTTGAGTCGTCGCTCGTCGTCGTCGTGGCTGCCGATAGCTACGTATTTTAATTATAAATGATTGGAGGCCAACGGGGCCGATTTCTCATTCGGAGAGAAATCTTTTAGTTATTTTGTGTTAAAAAACATTATGTGATGTCGAACTGTGAACTGTAGTGCAAATTGGAGGAAAGGAGTTCTAGAACGAGCGGATGTTCCAGCGCTGTGAGTTTAGGTTATTCCCTATTCCTGCGCTCCTAAAATATCCTGAATACCTGATTCCTGTCATACTTAAACTCACAAAGAAACGGCATCATCGTTTGCTCGGTAAGCAATTCGTTGCTGGGCCCTGTTTAAGTAGATTTTGGAAACAAGAATTTCTCGGCCGGAAACTTTCCGGAACAAAATTCTCTCATTAAATTTATTTTATTTAGCTATAGTAAAGAGCACTACGAATCGTAGTCAAATGTTGTTCGAGGCTGATCGACCATTTAGTTTTAGATTTTAAGATAACTTTAATTTGCTTCCACTGCGCTAAGATCAGCTTCGGAATCAAACATTTTTGGTAGCAGAGCGTGGTTGCTTTATTGCAACATAGTTAGCCGTAATTTAGTATTAAGCGTGTTTTTATATTACCCACATATTTTATTAATTTTGGAAAATATTGTTTCGGTTTTTGTGACTGTATTGTTTGCCTAGTGAACGGTACCTTATCGGTAAGGTCTAGGCCAGTCAACTAACATTTATTTTGTGGTATTTGTTTATTGGTTTTCGTTTTTATTAAGTCGAGTGTGTAAAAGTTGGTACCATGGCTCCCTCGATCGCCAGGTATAAGGCTGCTATAAAGACAGAATTAAGGTGGTTTACTACCACAGCGGCAATGATCGGCCGCGAGGACCGGGAGGACGCGCTCTTGAAAAGTGCACTACAGGCAGATGAACGGGTTCGGGTTGTGTCGGAACACCTCACAGAGTGCCTCATGCTCCTTGAGGAAGCTCCTAACCCTGAAGATAAGGAGCTGGTTGAGGGCGATGTAAGCCAGTGCTTGGAGCTGGCACAGGACATTGCGCAGGCAGCTGCGGACATATCTAGGCGACGTGACGGAAAGGAAAAGCCATTCCGTGGTAAAGTGGGACAAGGATTACAGGTGCCTCTTCCGCCTGTTACGGTTCCAGTCTTTGCAGGCGATTACGCCGACTGGCCGGCGTTTGAGGACCTGTATAGCAGTGTGGTCCACACACGGACGGACATAACGCCGGCGTACAAGATGGCTCAGCTGATGTCCAGGCTACATGGAGAGCCTCATGAATTGCTGACGCATTTGGCTGTCTCGGATAGCAATTATGAGGTGGCGTGGAAGATCCTTACCGACCGGTATCGAAACAAGCGCCTGATTGTAGACAGGCTGTTAGACCAGTGGCTGTCAATACCAACCATAACGCGAGGTACGGACCTCCGCGAGAAAATCTTCCACCCAGTCAGTGTCGCGGTCAGCGCACTAGAGCGACAGGGTTTGCCAGTGGCGGGCTACGGTTATATCTTGGTCCACACAGTGCTTCGCCGCCTGCCGAGCGAAATGGTCGCTCGATTCGAGCAGCTACATGGGGCAAGTCCTCGGACCACCTCCCGACCTACGAGGATCTGAAGTCGTTCCTCGAGGCCGAAAGCAGGCGAGTGGACGTCCAGGCTGGTGAAGCCCCACGCAAGGAGACCTCTGCCCCTCGCCACCCGGAACGGCCGGGTGCACCGGCGCGAGGAGGCAACAGTAGGCAACCCAGGCGGTACAACACCGCATTGGAATCAGGGTGTGCCTACTGCAGGGAGACAGGCCACGGGGTGGCAGCGTGTCAGGAGTTTGCTGCGCAGCGGGTTCAGAGGAGACGGGGTGTGGCACAGCAGAGGCGTTGGTGTTTTCGGTGCCTGGGGCCGCATCAGGTGCGAGTGCCCTTCAAGCACCAACTGTAGGTACTGCCAGGGTGCACACCATCCGCTGCTCTGCATGAATCGCTCCGGAGGCGCCGGGGCAGCGCTGGATCGGATCAGCGAAGGAGCCTGCCCACCAAGGGAGGAGCAACGCTCCCACCCCTCAAGGAGGAGCCCACCTCCGCATCGGTCACAGGGACAGGCAGGGGACGTCAACAGACGGAGCCCACTTACCTAGGACGTGGGGACAATCCCCACCACGGCAGCAGGTGCCGGATTGGGGAAGAGCGGCACAGGAACGTGGCCAAGGACACCCATCCCAGGTACGGGATTCAACGGGCGGGTGTCAGGGGGGCACTAGGCAGCCACCAGGGTACATGCAGTATTCTGCGGGCTTGAGCCACCTGGTTGGGTCTCAAGACCCACGCATGCCCCCGCCTATGCCTGAGTACCCGCGGCTACAGGCGCAACCTCGGTACGGACGTTTGCCGTCGGGGTACTATAGAACTCCAGCCATGGCCTTTATGGGCAGACCTCCCTACCAGCAGGAGTGGGACCCATACACAGGTTTGGGTAGTGAGGGGATACCCCCGCGGGACGCGGCCTCACCGCGTTTGGATTCCCGCTAGGTAATCGCCGCCTACTCATCAGCTTCGGCTCCCCGTCCAATCACGGTACTTTTGCCAACGGCTAAGATTTGGGTATGGGGATACGGTGGCCGGACCATTCAAGTAAGAGCCCTACTGGATACAGGGGCTCAGGGATGTATTGTATCGAGTAAGCTGGTGAGTAGGCTAGGCCTAAATGTACGGCCAAGTGAGGATGAAGCTGTAGGCATCGGGGGCCTAAATGTGCCTGGCATTCGGGGTCAGACGAACTTTGAGTTCGCATTAGGTAGCACATGTACAGGGGTCAGCTATCAAGTCTCAGCCGTGGTGCTGGATGAAGTGGTTGGGAAACTCCCTCAGGTTAGGTTACCACCAACGGTAAGAGGGTTAACCACAGGGTTGGAGTTAGCTGATCCTGATTTTGATACTCCTGGTACGGTGGACGTACTTCTCGGGTCAGACGTCCTCGGAGATTATGGTGCGGTAGGAAGAAGGTACTCCAGGAAACTGGTTTGGTGGCCGTAGATACCACAGGGGGGTATGTTGTTTTCGGCCCAGTTTGGAGACCTCAGGACCTACCAGAAGGGGATCCGGTCCTCTATGGTAGTGTGCTGTCAGAGGTGCTGCAGAGGTTTTGGGAGTCTGAAGAGCCGCCCACGGCGGACAGACGGAAGCCAGAGGATGACGAGTGCGAGTTGTTCTATCAATACAACACTGCGAGATGCCCGTCAGGCAGATTCGTGACCAGGCTACCTTTTCTCCCAAACCGCCCCGCTTTAGGTAGTTCGCGACAGCTCGCGGAACGGAGACTACTCGGAATGGAGCGGAAGATGAGGCGAGACCCAGCACTTCGGCAGAAGTATATAGAATTCATGCGGGAATATATTCAATTGGGCCACATGTCGGTGTCCAGCCTGGATTGGAGGTGTGTCGAGCATTATTACATTCCACACCTGGCTGTCTTGAAGTCACCTGAGGCGAAAATACGGGTGGTGTTTGACGGTTCTGCTCCTACCTCGAATGGTGTGTCTGTGAACCAATGTTTGCACGCGGGTCCTAAATTGAACCGGGACATTGTGGATATTCTCACAGACTTTCGGTTACACCAGGTAGCGTTCGTCGCAGACGTCAAAATGATGTTTCGCCAAACCATGATACATCCGGATGACCGTCGGTATCAGCTGATTTTGTGGCGTGAGAGCCCAGATGAGCCGATGGTCACATACGAACTTAACACGGTGACGTATGGACTTAAGCCAAGTCCGTATTTGGCAGTACGTACGCTGCGAGAGTTGGCCGCACAGGAAAGGGTAAGATACCCTCGAGCCGCAGCAGTACTGGATCGCGACGTCTACGTGGACGATATCTGCACGGGTGCTGATAGCGTGGAGCAGGCGCTAATTCTACGAGACGAGTTGATCGCGATCATGGGTTCAGGAGGTTATGAGTTGCGGAAATGGTTGTCCAGTTGCCCAGAGCTCCTGGCCGGTTTGCCAGGCGAGTTCCATCAGGACCCGCACCTCTTTGAGAACCCGGACAATCCAAACACGTTGGGCATCCTCGGGGTGCAATATAGGCCAACGCATGACGTATTCACGTACAAGATCGAGCCCGACCTTTTGAGAAAACTTGGACTAAGCGGTCGGTACTGTCGACAATCGCTAGAACGTTCGATCCTAGCGGATGGATCGCCCCGGTTACGTTCATGGCGAAGTGCTTTTACAAAGGTTGTGGCTAGCCAACTTAGGATGGGACGACCAACTCTCCGGAGAGTTGTTGAAGGATTGGCTCAAGTTTGTGACCACCTTACCAGGGATTGTGCACATCGCGATACCCCGCAAGTTAGTCCCATCGGTGGGATGTAAGGCTACCCTACATGGGTTTTGTGACGCCTCGGAGCGAGGGTACGCGGCAGCTGTATACCTTCGGACAGCAAGTTCAACGGGAACTGTGCACGTGCGTCTGGTTATGGCCAAAAGTAAGGTGGCACCAGTCAGAACTAGATG